TAAAAACTGCTTTAGAACAAAGTATTAAAGCAATTTTTTTAATGACGCAAAATCAAAAGAAGGTATGCTGGAACATAAACAGGTATCCTAGCAGCAGGTCTTCAAGTATCGCTTGATAATAGATGATCAACTTTTGTCTTTTTAAGAACAATTCAAGAAAACATTTTCTTTTTTTTCTTTTTTTGTTTGTTTTAACACAACGTATTTGACTGTAGAGAATTGATTTTGCTTACATTTCTGCTTGGCATTGCTGACTTTTAGGTACATCGATGGCTAAATACCTACAATTAATTTACACTTATAAACGTTTGGTTTTATATTCTTTAAGTTTGTAAGGGTTTTTATTGAGTAAGAACAGATAGAATATGTGCTTAAAAGTCTCTTTCAAGTTTCTTTAAGTTTTCAGTGGCTCTTTCTCTTTGCTTTTGATCGGAAAAAATTAAAATCGACGATTTTTTAATTTAATTAATTATTTTACAATTCACTAAGTTTTCTACTTCTAATTTGGTTCTTGATAATTGACAGAAGAAAGTTTCGTTTTTTATATGTTGGCTTGGATAATGTTTTATCTACACATTCAATTAGCTGATTTTATTGTGTGTTTGTTAACGAAACTTTAGCAATTATTTGTTGTTCAGGTGTAAACTTTTAAAACGTTTAGGCTTATATCATAACCTCAGACGATTTGTAATTTTCCACAGTGCTCTAAACAAAGATATATTGCTTTTAAAATAATATATTCATTTTGTATCCTAATAAAAGCTGTAAAAGACTGAGGACGCTACGTTAGTTATGCATAAAAGAGAAATGAGAAAGCCGACAATTTGGCGTTAAAGCAGACTGTAATTTCATTCGTTTAAAACTGTTAATAAGCTTTGTAAACTGTATTAAAAATGACAATATCATTAAATATGACGCTTCAAAGCTTATTTTCTGTCGGTATTTTTATTCTTTGAGTAAGATGAGAGAGTGTTTCTGAAATATTGAAAAGCTCAGAAGCATTTAAAAGTTCTGTAAAAATTTAAAAAAAAAAGTTTATTAATGATAGAGCACATAATTGACATTTCAGTGCTTGATACTTAAATTTCAATTGGTAGATTTTACTTTTCAAAATAGCTGAAGAACTAAAAGTTTTATTTGGCACATTATCGACATTGCTATCAAAAACATTCGTTCACCAGTTCGTTTCTCGTCTTTTCTTGTAATGGCTCGTCTTTGGTCGTTCTTTGAGACTATTATTGAATATGTTAACCGGTAAAAATTGAGGATTTGAAGTTATGCTACTTTTTTAGAATCAGGTTTTTTTAGACACGGGTATTCTTCAAGGTTATCTAACGCTTTAATGGTAGAAGATAAAGCGTTGAAGATAATGAAATTACTAGACTATATTAAACTTCTAGCAAAAACTTTATTTTCACTTATTATTTTGTATTAACAACAGAATTTCTTGCAAAAAAATTCTAATTAAAAAAAAGCAAGAACTCTCAGTGATTATTAATGCATCAACAGTTTTCTGGATTTAAAAATGTAGCAAAAAGAATTAATAATTAGATGTTTCATGCTGTATTTAGAGAAATGGGTAAAAGAAGCAGCTTTTGGCGATTAACAGCGAAATTCCGGAAACGTTGCTGTAACGCTGAATTTGTTCTTTAAACATTTACACATTCGCCTAGTCTATTTTGGTTGACGATTGAATTATAATCTTAAAAAAAAATGTACATTGAGTGTGGCCTAATCTACAAAATTTTAGAAAATACAGCTTTTTCAGTGTTATTTTTGTTTCTGCTCCTGCTTCATTTTTCCTCCTTCATTCGTTTTTACAATTCAGTGATTATTGAAATAGTTATTTGTTGCACTTATATCACTGTTCTGTTATTTCTCGCTATTTTCGTCTCTATACTCTTACGTTGCTAGTGGATTAAGTGAAAAAAAAAATAAAAGGAAAAAGTGAAAACAACTCGGTTTATTCAATTGTTTAACCATCAGTTTAACCCCTGCTTATTCCAGCATAAAAGTACATGCGTAAACCTGATCAGAGAAGGATATTTGACGTCAAAAAAAGAAAAGAAAAAAGGAACTTTTTTTGTCTTTTATTAAATTGCAATGCGTTCACTGGGAGTCGTTTACAATAAAAATCTTTCCAGCACTCCTTTTCATTCAGTAACCAGCTTTTTTAAGCAAAAATTTAGTGTTCAAGTAAGTGTATTCAAAATGCCATTTTCACGTTTTGATAAATAAATAAAGCTTAATGCTGCGTTAAATTTAGATGATGCAGCAATTTGTTGAAGAGTTTATGTACAGTGTACAAATTTCTTTCTCCCAACAAAATAGGCGACCAAAAAATTTAGTGATAAATTAATTTGAAAAATTTAGCTTAAAGTCAGTCAACATTATCTGGACAAAGTAGTTGGCTATTCATAAATTTTTTTAGGTGATGATTTATACGGTACTGATTGTACAGATATTGTCAATTACAACGCTTCTAATCCTACAAATCCTTTATTTTCGGAAAAGTATTTTTTTGCAAATAATTCCAGCATTTGTTGCTGCAACTCTTATATATAGTATTATTAGAAGAAAACATGCTTATGTATGGCCAACGATTGCACTTTCGGTAGGTTCTATTTATACATGTGAAAATTTGCTCTTAGCCAATTGTTTCAACTTTGTATTTCAATTGCTGCATAACTCCTGTCTAAAAAATAACACAAAATGTCGTAAATTAGGCCCAAATTTAAAAACCGTTTTTTTATGCTCAAAGAACGCGTTAAGAATTCAACAAATAGTTGATGCCATGTCTAATTCCCCAAACAACCTAACTGTTACTTATAATATTTTCAGTGTTTTCATATCGTTTTGTCATTCTATCTGGAGATCATATTTTTGTTCTACTATATTTTCAAACCTGCTTATATCATCATGGTGCTTAACTGGGCTTTCGACAGTAAGTCACTTTCGTTAATAAGGTTTTTGTTGCCGAAACTAACTTACCTATCAGCATTAGGCAGTCATCAAATTAAGCTTTTAATCTGCAGCACAGTATACAGAAAAAACAGTTTCCTACTACGTACAGTCGACAGTTATATTTATCTCTGTAATAACATTTGGCCTCTACAATTACTGGCAGCTGACCATATGTAACCGATACAGAGATCATCTGCAATGTCTTCAAGACGAAAAAGGCCGTAAAATAGCACCATTGAATTTTTTGGCAAACAATCACGGTTATCAACATTATCAGACCTCGTTTACTTCACAAGCTTTAGCCTAAAGCCAATCAACTGTCTTCAGTGGTCTTCCCATTGTTCCCGTATATAAATTTAGCAGCAATTTAATATTGTTCCATCCCTGATATATCTATCCAACCATACTGACGCTGTACTTGTTCTGCGTTGAAAAAGTGATAATAAAACTTTTTTCAAACGAATAAAACAGGCTTGCCATAAACAACTGTTAAAACATCTAGTGAGTATGGAAAGAAAAGTACAAAAGTTGTACCTAATTCTGTTAATTTTTTCTGACTGTACCAAGTATCTCCAGCATAATGATGTTTACTGCTTAATTCCACTCCTATAACTTCAGCTATTTAATTAGCAACAAAATAATGTAACCGATGACTTTTAACAGGTCAAAACAAAAAATGCTGATTTGGTCTTTCTTCTAACTTTCATTTCACTCCAATCATTAATGGGATTAAGATTCAATTTAACTTGCATGTCTAACTTTTGTTAATGCCATTAGTGAAGAAAAAAAACAAATACTAAAATGTTCCCCAAACCAGTCTTTAATATTGTTTCATTCTACCACCAATCACGTCAAATTTTTTAAATCCGTTTGCCCCCACTGGTACGTATCCGCATTTGCAAACGACTTGCAAATGTCCTGGCCATATTAAAAATTACGAAAAATTCAAATGATCCGACATTTCACAACATAGAAAAACTGAAAAGTGTGAAAACCAGCAAGTTTCTTGTGACTTTCTTGTGGTTACTGTTCAGCGCGGCACACACGAAATAAGTTTAAATTCTGCATTTTCATTGTTTCAGAAGTTTCTTTGTTTACTTGAGCAATTCGGCAAGAATTTGCTATAGAAAATCGCTTACATCACAGGAGATTCTGCTAAGTTTTCAGCAAGAAATCAGCAAGCTTGCACATCTATTCATCCTCGCACAAAATTTGGGAGCATTTTTCCATAATGATTTCTCCTCAACATCAGTTTCCCCAGCCTCGCTACTGTACTTTAAAAAAACCGCATAGGTCCTCAGACTAATGACGAATAATGATTTCAAGAACTTGAAACAGAGGGGGCTTCTCCTTTTACCATTAACATAAGAATATTTATCATTGCTGGAGTAAAAAGCCAATGTCGAAGTTTAACTAAAACTGAGAAACTTCTACATTTGGGATTGATTTTTCATCATTGTAAGCTTGCTCAAACGCCATTTCGCCGCCTGACAAGACCGTTTTACCAAAAATCGCTCAACCAGAATCCCCTTTCGATAATAAATCAGCTCTTTATATTCAATAATAAATCAGCTCTTTATAGATTTCAAGAGAGATTTCAGATACCTTGAAAGACGCCGCAATTTCTATTATACTTCTGGATAATCCTTGTCGGTCAAAAGTGAAGAAAGTCAGTTTTATCACCGCATTATGCACCACACAAGTTCAACATTAAAAGAATTTTTTTCTATTGCAAAATAAAGAAAGTAACTGATAAACCAACATGATAAATCAAAGGATGTAAACTCACAACCGTGAGAAGCTTAATTTTACCATTATTATTCACTTTATCATTGTTCTCCGATAAGTCCAACTGGTACTCAAAAAATTTAAACAGATCATTCACAAAAATTTCTCTCATTTCATTTACTATCCCTTACCACTTTCCTCCTCGTTCAATTTACTATCTAACTGAAAGATATAAAAACGAATTGCCACTTGAGTTCTTAGTTTAGAAATAATGACTTTTTCCTCCTCTTAATAACTGTAAAATTCCCCATGCACATAAGAAAGACACAAACCAATTTTGCAATGGAATTGCACTTGATCTTGGGGTACTTGGTAAACAGAGCAAAAGAGAAACAGAATTGAGTTTTTCTAAAAAGAAAATACCTCGCATTAGGAGAAGTAGGAACCCTCCAACAAATCTGTTACCAAATAATTTCAATTAAAATTTTGTAGCTGTAAAGAACTAGTGATCAGCAGTCGACTGAGTTCTCGGTATTTGATAGTTTCAAAAGTAACGCAAAAACTAAACCTGATTTTAAAAGCATTCAGTGTCAATAATAACTTTCGTGTCTTTTTCTGGAAATGCTAGGTACGGATATCTGTTGAAGTTCACTCAGTAGTACTTTTTTAGAGAACTTAATAAACCCTGTCAGACTTGGCTTTCTAACAAAGAAAAACTTGATTATTTAAATTTAAATGTTTCCAATGGAGATAAATCTGAAAATGCTTTAAACATAACGATTATTGCCCTAACCAATTTAAAATATTTTTTTGCAACTGTCAGTTCAATATAAGGCCTAACTTGTCAAGAACTGTTTTACATTACACAAGAAACTTTGACACTTTTTCGGTAGCAATAGAAAACACAGAATGCCTCTCTACTTTTCGTCGTAAAACTCTTAATTTTCACGCGTTTCAAAAGTTTTTAAATATTCTCCCGTTACGTCACTTCAGTTCATTAAAATTTATCAGTTCGTAACTAAAACTCCGTTTCTGCGAGCCTACAGTCAGCTAAGCGTTTTTCGGCTTCTATCTAATTGACAATTAATTGAAATCGCCGGGAAAGAAGGCTAGATGAGACTACTGCCGAGCAAAGAATAAATGCCAAAATAACCAGCCTTTTGGCAAAAATAGTCCCGAAAATAACAACATCAAAATAAGATACTTATCGACCAAACAAAGTCTAGAATAATTATCAGAGCATGACATTAGAACACCTCACATCATTCGCAAAACAATTTGGCCTTTAGCGAAAGCTCTTTGTAGCTAGAAACAAAAATCACCCGACTAAGCCATTTTCAACCTTTCTAATATTTACCTTCAACTACAGCCAACAGCAAGTTGGTCAGTGATCCTAGCAGTCCATCCAACTGCCAAATAATTAAAACAAACTTTACCAGAAAACGTATGACAAAATTATTCAGACCAAAAGTGGTAGCAGTTTTTCGCAAAACTAGAAGCAATCAATATACTGCTTTCAATTAAACTGCTTAAAAAAGCTTGACAAACATAAAAAAATTGCTGTTCAGAATTATCACATACTTTGATACAGAAAGATGACGCAAAAATCGTAACAAAAAGTGGACGATACAAGTAACAAAAAAGTCAACTGAAGTTAACCTCCGAAGAAAAATCAAAAAAGTGGTGGCAGACCGTTGCAACAAAAGACAACCAGTAATTTGCAAGATATAAAAAGTGCACCCGTCTCGGCTATAAGGTATACGCTGAAAAAATTATAGGTCCCTTGTTTCTTCCTCACAAAGTGAAACAATATTTAAGTAGTTACCTTTAACAAGTGTTTCGGAGCTTACCTTTTGCAAATCCTCTGCAGCATTCCCAAATTTAGTAAACACTTGACCAGAGAATGTTACAAGTTCACTTAATGTCTTTGAAGAAAAGTTCTACACCTCAGCTTCAAATCAAATTTCCAAAGCAAAATTTGATTGCTACCTTAAATGTATCTGAAAATATCTGAAAAATCTAAAAAAAGCTTCTGTATATTCTGACCGATTCCTGAAGGCCTTCATGAATGCTTAACTTCCAGGAAGTTGAGCTACTTATGAGGTTTTTCTCTTCCTGTTGTGCAAAATTCCACCAGAGCTGGTTACAAATACTGAACGAAAAAAAAGATCTAATGTAAGTGTCGAGTACAAACTGTACTTTTTTGCCAAGTGACATCAGAGAAGAACCATTTCAAAAAGGTAAACTCCATATAACATACTCGTTTTCAACTAGAACTTCCAAACCATCTAGAACATAATCAATACGTGCACTTACTTTATCCTAGTTACTGCTTAATTCAAATGAAAAGTTACACATTCTTCAAATTTAAAATTGAAGTAATCTAATGCTCTAAGTACCAAAGGAGGTGTTTGGACTAGTCGTAGCATTCTTCTAACCAAAATTTTCTTACAAAAGTTTAAGAAAAGCCCTCATCAACTGCGCGATAAAAGTAGGTTCAAAATTCTGCTTCACTGCGGTAGATGACAAACCTCATGATGAACCCAAATTCGCTTAGTTAAAATGGGCATTTCTAAAACATAAATTTCACTATGCTGCATATGTGGTGTTTGAATACAGACAAGAAAAATCGGCAACTGAAGACAGTATTTCATGCAAAAAATAATATTTATTTTTGTAAAGTCTATAAATTCCCAGATCAATCTCTAGTAAACAGTCCATTTTTCTTATTCATCCCAAGAGTACTACTTCTAGCCTAAGAAACCAAAAATTATTAGTAACAGGTCTTCAAATAGCCTCGTAATATTCTGGAAGCAAATTAATAAAGTGGAGGAACGACGGCAGCATGAACACGTAGTACAAGCTCTTGAAAACGTTCCTTTTGCTTAAAAAAATGTAAAGCGAAGGAACTTCTCAACTATCCCGATAAAAAAAGAGCTGCTTGACAACCATGAAATAATAACTCTAAAGCTTCGAGCAAGCGGCCATACTGTGCGTGAATGGCGTGTCGCGCTACAGAAGCAACTAAGCAACGTGGGGCACGCCGTTAGCTTGCATGACATTCCCAAATGAAAACAAATATGCGACAGAACTGACAATTAGTACAAGACTGCAAAGGCGTAATATCAGAAAATAAACGCTAAATAAAAAGATGACAGAAATTAAGTCACCTATTGCAACGGACGAAATCAAAATAATGACGGTAGAGACATAGACATCTCTGCTCATTCTCGA